CTACACGTGCCGCAAAGCGGCACGTGTTCATTTGCCAAATTACCGTTATTCAAAAATTTTTGCCCAATAATGTATACTTATTTATTAATAACGATAAATAGATCCATCCTATTACGTAATGATTTTAGAATTTGAGGATGGAGAAAATTTACTAAATTATTTAAAAAAGAATTTTTCCAAATTACAATGGACTAAAAAACTATCCATAGCTACAGAGATAGCAGAAGGGCTAAAATACCTGCATGTTAACGATATGGCCCATCTTAATCTAGTATGAATAGCTATCTTATTAATTAAATTTATTATAATGTACTATTTATCAATAAATTTTACTATATTTACAGCATCCAAAGAATATTCTGGTTTGCGAAGACAAAATTCTAATCTTAGGTTTTGGTATATCTGAGTATGCATCGTGTTCAGCCTCAAAAAATCGAGTAATGCCAGCATACACCGATCCAAAATGTCTTGTGGATCCTACTTATCAACGTGATAAGAGATCAGATATATATAGTTTTGGAGTTGTTTTATGGGAAATTTCTAGTGGGCAACCACCATTCAAGTCCTTTGAAAATGGATATGCAATCACTATTAAAGTTTTTCAAGGAGACAGAGAAAAACCTGTTGAGGGCACACCACCTGAATATTTACAAATTTATACACAATGTTGGGATAACGATCCTGAAAAACGCCCAAAAATAGAGTCTGTTCTTGAAATCTTAACCAACTTAAAAACAATTTTAGAATAATTGATAAAATTTTAATATTTAAAATTTAGAAATATTAGCAATAGAAACCACGGGAAAAATAGATAAATACGTATAGTATTACAAAATTGAATCTGCAGAAGATAATGGTAGGCTAGTATTTATTTATCAGTGTTTTAAAATCAAACATAAATACATTTTGAAATTTTCAATGTTTTGTATTCGAATTTAATACAAAGATTTAAAATTTCAAATTTGAATCCGACAATGCTTTCTTTAAGAAAAGTAGAGTCAATCGAGAGAAATAAATTCGATCTAAATATTTTACTAATAAGTAAAATTTAATGAAACAAATATACTGTAACTCTTGTACATTTGGTAGATAACTTATTGAAGCAGAAAATTTTAAATCAATTATTTATTAATGCTATAGCATTTTATGTTTAGCAGTTTCAATTGAAGATTGAGAAACACTTTGTTTATCGAACAAATTTAAGCTTTAAAACTGTACAGTAAATAATACGGAATTGATTTATACAATAGCATAAAAATTTTTTTTATAAAATATCTAATTCACTATTGTATTGCAAAATAAATGCTGAAAGATACTTGATTATATCATAGCTTTTATTTTCAGTAGCCCAGTCGAGTATATTTAATTCTTGGTCTTTTATTGCAAAATCACTATACTTTTGGGAATTATCTATAATACATTTAATAGCTTTCGAATTATTTCGTCTCATAGCATACTGAAGAGCATTTTTATCTTCACATACATCAACAAGTTCATCTCTAAACTGAGAAACATTTTTTATAATCCACTTCATTGCTTCTAATTGATTATAACGAATAGTATATCCAAGTATATTCATATTCATGTCATTAATTTTGATGTTAGGATCTCTATATACATGGGCATTTTTTAATATGCATATAGCCGCTTCAATATTATCCTCACACATTGCATACTGAAGAGCATTATAATTTTTACAAACATAAACAATTTCATTTTTAAATTCAGAAATATTTTTTAAAATCCATTCTAATACTTCTAATTGGTTGCGATAAATAATATGTCCAAGAACATTGAATTCTTTATAAATAATTGAAACGTCTCTGTATTCTGAAGAGAGGTTTAAAAGACATTTAATAGCTTCCATATTAAGTTGACGTATTGCAAACTGAAGCGCATTATAATTCTTATATACTTTGACAGAACTTTTTCCAATATTAGGAATATTTTTTAAAATCCATTCCAATAATTCTAATTGATTATAATAAATAATATGACCAAGGATATTTTGTTTAAAAACATTCTTTATTTTTATATCTCGGTATACAGGTGCTTTTTCCAAAAGACATTTTATGATTACTGGATTACAATTAATATCCATTGCAACTTCAAGTGCATTCCGATCATCGCAAACCTTAACTATCTCATTCTTAAATTTAGGAATATTATCTAAAGTCCATTCCAATAAATCTAATTGATTAGTGCAAATAATATGACCAAGAATATTCAATCCATTACTGTTTTTGATCATTGTATTATCTTTATAAAGAGGAACCTTTTCTAAAAGGTATTTTATAGCTCCAAAGTTATTAATGTCCATAGCAAATTGAAGAGCATAACAAACTTCTTCCTCACTATCAATATATTCAAAAATATTGTCCAGAACCCATTGTAGCATCTCTAAATTATTAAATTGTATAGCGTGGCAAAGAATATTCAATCCAAAGACGTCTTTAATTGCTATACTCTTATAAACAGAAGTTTTTTCTAAAAGGCATCTTGCGGCTTCTAGATTATTAAGATTCATAGAAAATTGGAGAGCATTCCATCCGTCACAAACTTCAACAAGTTCGTTTTTGAATTCTGGAATATTTTCTAAAATCCATTGCAATATTTTTAAATGATTATTAAAAATTATTTGGCCAAGAAAATTAAATCCTTCATCATTTTTTATTGAAATATATTTATCAGTTGGAGCTTTTTTCAAAATACATTTCATTTCCTCCCATCGATTATTTATAATAGTATATTCAAGAGCATATTGATTTTTAAAAATCTTAATGATTCCATATTCATATTCGGGAATATTTTCCAAAATCTATTCTATTGTTTCAATTTGACTATTATAAATCATTTGACCTAAAACATTAAAACCTTTATTGTTTTTAATAGAAATATCCCTATACGCGGTCGTTTTTTCTAAAAGGAATTTTATAGCTTCGATATTATTTGTATCCATAGCAAACTGAAGAGCATTATAACCTTCGCAAACCTCAATTATATTATTAGAAAATTCGGGAATAGATTCTAAAATCCATTGTAATGCTTCTAGATCGTTAGATTGAATAAAATATCCAAGAACATTTAACCCAACTTCATTTTTGATATCAGGATTTTTATATATAGGAGCATTTTCTAGAAGGCATTTAATAGCTACTAGTTTATTATTATTCATTGAATATTGTAAAGCATTCCAACCTTCACAGACTTCGACTATTTCATCCCTGAATTCAGCGAATTTACATAAAATCCACTTCAATAATTCCATATCATTAAATTGTATAAATTGTCCAAGAGTATTTAAACCTTTATCATTTTTAATCATAGCATCTCTATATATAGGAGCATCCACTAAAATACATTTTATGGCATCTACATGATTAAGATACATAGCGTATTGAAGAGCATTCAATTCTTTAAAAACTTTAGTCTGCTTTTCTTTAAATTCGGGAATACTACTTAAAGTCCATTGTAATAACATCAACTTATCAATCTTTATAATATATCCAAGAAAATTTAACCCTTCGGAATTAATAAAAGACAAATCAATGTTATACTTAAGAACTAAATCAAGGTAAGTAATAGGAAAATTTTGTGATGTGATGTAGAATAATAAGTTTGTAGAATCAGAAGATAAAGAAATATTGGGATCTAAACCATTTTTTAAATATATGGAAATGATCTTGTGATAATATATTGATAATCTAGGTTCATTTAGGAGGTAATATAAAGAATTATTATAAAGTTTGTCTTTAATATTGATATCATAATTACTTCTAAGTAACCATTTTAAAATGGTTTCAAATTCAAGCAAACTTTCAAGAATAGAAAGCTCGTTGTATTTTGATTGTAAAATATAATGAATACTTAGGAAATTTTCAGTGAAATTTAAATTATTTAATATAAAAGTTTCAAAAATAGAAATTATAGAAGTTGGATTGCAATAAAATAAAACAAAATCATAGTAAGGAAAATATTTAGATGAGCCTAAAGGTGATTTATAATAGTTGTTTTTAATGTTTCTCATATGCAACTTTAGCCCTTGAGAATCTCCACAAGCTATATGAAAACGTGCATCACAATTGTTGAGATTGGTTTTAAAATTTGGATCATCTTTATTCTCATACTTTTTAATTACTTTCTTAATAATTTCATCACAGGACATAGGAGTTGAGCATTGAACAATTTTCGAAGTTTCTAAAATAATTAAATTACTATTAAATATTTCTCAAAAATTTTGAATTTCAAAAAAAAAAAACATATAAAATACCTACTCGTTATAGAGTTCATATATTCAACACTATTATTATTAGATTCATCATAAGTTGGTTCAAGTTGTAAATTTTTTAATTTATCAATAATTTCACTATTATCATTAGATTCATCATAAACTGGTTCAAGTTGTAAATTGTCTAATTTATCAAGAATTTCAGCGATTTTAGGACGTTCATTTGGATTCTTGTCCCATGATATATAATAAAGCTTTACAAAATCAAGTGGAGTACCATTAATTGGAGTTTCTCGATGACCTTCAAGTACGGATTTAATCCAATTTGAAGAATTTGGAGGCACACCACTTGATAGTTCCCAAAAAAGTACAGCGAGACTATATATATCAGAAGGTTTGCCTCGCGTATATGATGGATTCAACAAGTGCATTGGGTCCATGTAAGGCCATATTCCACCAGAACAAGATTTTGAGCTATTGTCTAATGATTTAGATAAACCAAAATCTGTGATTAATAGAACTTTGTCATTAACTAATATGTTACCGTCATGCTGTAAAAATATTTAAATAAAATTATTATTTAGAATGTAAATGAGTGAAAATCTGTAAGTGAATATCTTAAGTTTTCGGACTTATCGTATTATATAATATGTTACCAAGTTTGAATTGTGATAAACTTTATACTATATTCAATTGCAAGCTTTCACTCAAAGCAGCATATATAACGACAGATATACGAGTAATAATAAATTTCTTACAAGATCACAATGAATAATTTCATTTAAGTGCAAACATTTAACTCCATTAGCAATTTGTTTTGCGAATTGAATTTTGGTTGACCAGTCTAAATTTGAAAAATTAACTCGTAAATAGTCTCTAAGATTTCCTTGATTTGCATATTGAAGAACCATATGATATGATTTTGAATCATCTAATTAGATTTTACAAAGACATACATTATTATAACTTATTTGATGGTCAATTATTGGGTAGGAAAACATGCATACTATACCTTGGGTAATTCCATAAAAATTTATAATATTCTCATTATAGCTGACTTGAATGATGTTCCTAACCTTAATAATTTATTATTATAACAGATTTTTATGAATTTTAAGACAATTATTATGTATTGAACCCTCTCCAAGTGCAAATCTCCTATAAGATTAATTAATTATCCAATAAATGTTGCATTCTTCCATAGAATGTTGTAATTTTACCATAGTTTACCTCTGATAAATTTACTGTAACAACCTGGAGAGACTCAATTCCTGTCAATCCGCACTTTGGTGAGGGTTCATACTAATTTAATAAATTTGAGCATACTTCTCGTACAAAATCATTAGATACGTCGTCTTTATATAAACATTTTATAGCAAATACTTTATTCTCAGATTTAGATACAACTTTATAAACTTTGCCAAACCCCCCTTGACCAATTTTTTCGATTATATCAAAAGTGTTATAATCAAATTTTTTAAGCCAACGTTCTTCAATAGCGTTTTTAATTGAAATATCTTTATCTAACGACATCTTATTTATTAAATTGTATCAGTTTAAAGGTAATTAAATTTTTTTTTTCTTTTAAAGTTCTGAGTGCTTAGATATATAGTACATACAAGTACTATATATTTAAAAATTGATTAAAACACTAACACTAAAGACAATGATTAACAACAATATGAGTATGATTTGGCCATGTACGTACAGATATTCAAATACTGCGTCAGACCTAGTCATTCCTCTTCAGGGTAAACAAAAATAAAGTTTAATTGCGTAACGGTAATTTATATTAATGTGTGCCCAAAAGTTTCCCTGCTTAATGTTACTACTGTAAACGTATAAATGCAAAAATTAATCTGCCTATTATTGTTATCTACTAATTTGATTAACCCGGATCGACCCGACAAAAAAATAAATTTAGAGTAAGTGTACCGGTATTACTATTTATCGCCTGCGATTAGCCAATCAGATCTTGAGATCAGATGAAACGTATATGGGGTCTGTGCCTTGAAAATCAAGTTTGGATTATATGATTTACTATGCACAGACCCCATATATTCTTCTATGTTACACTAAATAATATTGCAGAGACGATTATCAACCTAAATATTTTTGCTAAAAGTTAGGCTTTGAAATTTAATTTCACTAAAATTTCGTAAGAAATATTTTTAATTTTTTTTTTAGGAATTAATCTGGATTTAAGCACTATTTTCAGATTACAGATTAATATTGCAAACATGACATCTAAATTTTTAAAAGGGTTATCTCATGACCTTACTGAACTTTTAAACAGCAATTACGATTATAATGTCATAATTAACGTTGGTAAAGATTCTGAAATTCATTCATTCAAAGCTCATTCCGCTATTTTGGGAAAACGATGTCCTTACCTTTATGAGGAACTTTCCAAAGTAAACTTTAACCAAGATCATATTAAGGAAATAAACTTACCTGATGTTATCTATGATGATTTTCGCTTAATTATCAAGTACGTTAATAATCTCTTACGTAATTCTTTTAATTTTTCATAAACTAATTTAATTTCCATATTAGATATATTTATGGTGGAATTGTACATTTAAATAAATTAAATGGACAAAAAATTTTTGATTTCATGATCACTGCTAATAATTTTAAACTTTTGGAATTAGTTAAACACCTTGAATCTCATTTAATTAGTTCTCATGCTAATTGGTTATTTTTGAATTTTTTTCGAATCTATCAACTTAGTCTTCAAGATGATAATTTTAAGGAACTACAAAATTTTTGTTTAAATTTTCCTGAAAAGATATTTAATGCTGATGATTTTATTTCGCTTCCAGAAGATGCTTTAATTCTTCTTCTTAAATGTGATAATTTACATATGGAAGAAGTTAAAATCTGGGATTATGTCATTAAATGGGGAGAGGCTCAAGGTTCTAATTTGAAAATTATTCTTAAAAATTGTATTCCTCATATTAGATTTTTTAGTATGTCACGTAGTGATATTTCCAAAAAGGTTTTCCCTTATTTTTCTATTTTAGATGATGCATTATGGAAAGATATATTTTACGCAATTACCGATGAAGATCATATAATTAATTCAATAGTTCTGCCCCCTCGTCTTATGCAAATCTCTGGAAATTCAAATATTAACAAACCGTTAGCACTTGAATCATCTATTATTACTGATTCACATGCCTCAGAAATTGCTTCATGGGTTGATAAATGTGCGGAACCATACAGTATTAATAATATACCATATGAATTTAAATTGATTTTTCAAGCCTGTAAAAAGGGGTATAATGCTACAAATCTTTTAAAAGAATGTCAAAAGCAAGATAAAACTGTAATTGTATTAAGGGTTAATGAGACGGGTGAAATACTTGGTGGATATAATCCATTTGCATGGGAGTATTTACATTCTGCAGCAAAACGTATATCTACAAATGATAGTTTTATATTTTCATTAAAAAATGAAAATATAAACACTTCAATAATTAGTCGCGTTATAAATGCTGAAGGTGCATTCTATTATAATGGTAGTAATGATCGTATAATATTTGGAGGTGGTGACCTTGCTTTACTAAACAATTTTAAAGATAAAAAAAATTGCTGTATAAAATGTAATTATGAAAAGCATATTAGATCAACTGTTTCAAGTTTTAGCGTAGATGAAATTGAGGTATTTAAACTTACTGAGAGGTGTACAATCCCTAATGTAAACTAGCAGTTAAACATTACTTTATTGAACTTTTAAGCAATATTCTCTGCAGTATAGTAATCTTCTTTAGTATGAACAGATTTATAGAAAATAGAAGCAGGTGTAGTTATTATATAATTAATTACAAATAATTAATTAATATTAGACTATTTATTACTAACTAAGTAGTAATAAGGTGTTTATCAAGAATATTTTGGATAATAACTTGTAACACATCGGTAACTTTTATAATTCATATTTGGGTTTATTTATTCTTTTTCACACATGATCTCTTTTCATTATATGAGTTAGAGCTTTTTATTGATGATCAATCATAGAATTTTTAAAATTCTAAAATACTTATAATGTTGAGATAGGTTTAATTACACAAGTCGTTTTCTACAAGTAATACAAAATAGCCATTATTACGTTTTTAACTTTAAGAATCAGAATATAGGATTAACATATTTAGCAATAATTATCACTTGAATAATTAGTAATAATATCTATCATTCTCTTGCCTGAAGATAAATGTTGAACTACAAAAAGGATCACTACATTTACACACGTTTTAAGGAACAAAATGTGCGGCAGTTATCAAAGAAATTTTTTATACAAAAGAGTAGGTTATTTGGAGCACTATTTGTCAAAGATTGCAAAATATTTCTTTCACTATTAACTGAAGTTGGGAAACACATGCTGAAACCTTAATTTACTGTACAGTGAGGTTGATGTGACGGCATAAAGCCTCCAGTGGCTGTAGCTTAGATGACTCACGGCGCGTTAGTGTCAATTAATATTAGTGTCAAAATGAGAAACGTCACTGAGCGTATCCACTAATTATTAAAAATGTATAAAAACATATGAAAGACAATCCGCTAAGAAAGTTCATTTTCTTATAATAAAAATAATGAATTGTCTTTCATTAATTCCCAACTCGCATCTCACTTTATTAAATGAAATGCTATTGAGAACAGGCGGTTTGGTCACCGGGACCAAACCGATCTTATTCTTTATCAGCAACTGGACGACCATATCGAAAGAGGCGGGCGGATGTTCTAAAGCTTAGGTCGCTTTTCCTACTACTAGGGTACGGGTCAGTTATCACTTCGTGAGGTTATGGTAATCATGGATTAATCTATGGGCATATATTACTTGGCAAAATAATTCTTTTTCACAAGGGCTTGAAAATAAAGAGAGAAAAAATTGTAGTGCCTAAAAGTTTTTTCTATTAGTTTCTATTTCTATATTAACTTAGTTACAATACGTTACTTAATAATTTCAAATTTTAGTTTTAAATTTATTTCCAAAATTATTATCTTATAATTATAATCTTTATACAATTACAAAATATCTAATTGTTATATTGTTATACTAAATTTATCTATATTGCTATACAAAGACTATATATAATACAGGTCTGGCGATCTTAGTGTAGTGGTTAGGTTGCTAGACCGTCATGTAAGAGGTCTGGGGTTCAAATCCCACTGTTGATGAATTTGAATAATTACCTAGATCTTTGTATCCAACTTACAGTAAACTCTGTCCATTTCTGGGATTGTAACCTTATAAATCATATTGCACTAATATCATCTGGATATTGGAAGTGTAATGAGGCATTTGGTGAGATGTAATATTACATGAATAAATTTTGATAGGATCTACAGGCATAGGACCTGCATAATAGAAATCTTGAGTTTGATGATGTAGTACAGATTTTAACAGTTATACTGGTTAACACTTGATCTAATAATACAAAAAATACAGATCGAGTAGGTGCGAGTAAGTCCATTTCATAAGGAGAAATAGTAACATCAATTTGGCTTGGTAGCTAACTAGATTTGGGAGGATCTCTTTATGAAACATTTGAAGAACTATTGGTAGAGAGCTACAGTAGGAACTGAGTTCATATGAACATCAACAAGGGTACAAATCCCTGAATAGACTATGAAATGAGCACAGAATATTCTGAAGTAGAGGTTTAGTTTGTGGGTAAAGTAGCTCATAGTTCTGAATATACTATATATTTAAGTTGGTATTACAGAAAAAGTATTGAAAATCAGAAGGCTTAATTAGGGGATCCACAAGCTGATCTTAGATATAGCAGTTAGTAAGTAACCTTTGAGTGGAACTATTAAATAGACAATGACTAAAATTGTACATGTAGCTAATTGTGGCATCATTGATATGCAAAATGTAGTACCCCCCTATCTAAGTATAGGTTTGTAAATCTTAAATAAATAAATATTGGGATATAGAACTCCCTCTTTAAACAGTAAAAAAAAAAAAGACTATATATAATATAAAATTATTAAGAAGCTAAAGATACTATTAATTTTTTATATAGCTTTTATTTAGTGCTAGTTATTTATTTATTTTTATCTCTAGTTTGTATTCTGCAATTATATATAAATATTTCTAATTTTTTTTAAAAAATTATTAGCTAAATTATATATATTGACATTATATAGATAAGAAAGTAAATAAGTTTTAAATAAAGTATTAGACATGAAAGTTGTGAAAGCATTAAAATCTTCTAGTTCAATAGAAAGAAGTTTTAAACTAAAAGTTTATTGAATCTATTGTATTACTTTTTTCTAAGTAAAGTTTTAGTAAGATTTATTAAAAATTAATAAATAAACAAATATAATTCTAAATTTAAAGTTATATTTGAAGAAAAAGTTAATAGTAATAGCTTTTTTAAAATATATTATTATATTATAATTATATAGTTTTAAATTATTATTAATTATGAGTATAGTTCTTTTAGCTAAATTTCTAAGCTTTGTTTAAAAATAGAAGAAATAATTAGTATTTAAAAATTTTTGAAATTATAGTGAGTTAAGTT